GCTTGACTACGTCGTGGGCTGTTTTGACGCCATAAAAATTTTCGGGGATCATTTGAACTATTGTCTGGAGCTATCTAAGCTATTGACATGCTCCTCCCATCAAGCTATCTCCAATCTAGGCTTTCGTCGTAATCGATGATATATGAGTTACGATGATGTATGAGTTATGATGCTCGATGTGCGTAGTATATATATTTCGATGAATGACGTATTTGATATGCTTGATGCACTTTATGACAATATGATGAGTATGATGATTGCGTGACGTTTACCTTAATATGATGATGTTTTCCATATTGAACATGCTATATGATGATGAGTGTCATATTGTATCATGTTGTTAGATCGACATAGGACACAACCCCAAGAGCATGAAAATGATATTAATATAAATATCCACGAGTATGTGTTACCTAGAATAACAAAGAGATGAGACTAGAGGGTTGTGTCAGAAGAGACATTATGATGGATTTAGAGTGACCTCATGCATATTGTATGTTCATAAGCATAGGGCTACTTCCCCTGGAGATGATGAGTGCGGACGCACACAATATGATGATGAGTGCGAATGCGCACAGATGAGGGTGTTCATAAGACACATTACACTATGGGGTTCTGCTGACCTCCGGACATCGCTACAGATTAGCTTAACCAGAGGGTCCAAGGGGTGTGCGAGCGCCCTGGGGATTCACACTCGCACATGTGAATCGTGTGTAAGGAAGTACTACACATCCAATTTATCCGAGACTGGAGGCCACCCTTAAGATGATTAGAGATAGGTCCCTAAATCATGATGACATGTGTTTGCATTTGCATGGCCCCGTATAGTGGGGCCACTTACGGAGTATTCTTTGAAATACTCAAGCGGTGTGCCACATTATTTTTCAGTTAAAGGCAAGACACACTTGTACGGAGGACGGCGACATTGCAAGCAAAGACTGTGGCACGTGCACAGGGTAGACTAATATTTAAATTTCTAGTCTTAAGTTAGAATATATTGTTTTTCACTTCATTATTTTAAATTATTTTGTATTTTTTTATATATTTTCTCTAAGTTGTAGTATTTCGTATTTAAACACGTAAGACCATGACTGTGCTTTCCAGAGAAGAAGTTGTTTTAAACGTTTTTCGAAGTTTGCGTTATAAATGATGTTCATGTAAGAGTTATATTTCCGCATTATAAATGAGCATGAGACAGTTGTAACGACTCCGAGTATGTGAAAATTTAGGGTCGTTACATTTTCTGTCTATAAATAACGTGAAATGGACAATTTAAGTGATTTCTAGTTGCTATGAGCACTGTGTTGCAATATTTTATGTATAACACACGTGAAAGTTGTTTGAAAAGGATTTCACTCAAGAGAGTGCTAAATTGGGGTTGGGATTTTTTTTTTTTTTTTTTTTTTGGGAATATATTAAAATAAAAATCTTATTGGATGTAAGTAATTTCTTGGTTCGGTAAGCATATTGAACAAATATAAGAACACTTAGAAGGTGTTTAAAAATGTCTTGTTTTTGTTGAGACGAACATTTTTTGAAAATTTATTTTATAACATATCCGTTCTTCGTAAGATAGACGTTTTTAAGTGATTTTTTTATTACTATGGGCACATTGAACACATAGTTGATTGTTGAGATATTTTTTTGATCGCATATGTTAAAGTTGTTTGAAAACGACTTAACTAGAGAATACACTATATTGAGAGGGGAGAGGGCTAAGAAACTTAAGAAGAAAAGACTTATGCTCGGATCTTTTTGCTTATAGCATGTGATCTTGTTTGAAAATGACTTATTCTCGCAGACATCTATAACATTTTTTTTGTCTTTTGATACTGTATCAAAGGGACAATTTAGAAGATCTTTGTTGCTATAAGCACATTGAAAGAATACACGACTATGCTCGGATATTTTGCTTATAACATGTGTGAAAGCCGTTGGTATTTTTAGGATGAATGAAACAAATTTGAAAAGTTCACATATTTTGTGTAGGTGAGAATTGCATTATATATTTTGTATACATGTTAGTAGGAGTACATTGAACAAGTTGTGGTTGAGACAATAGGGGACAATATCCGATAGCGGTGCGCTTGAGCTATTACAAATGATATCAAAGCCAAACTCCAGGCAGTGTGTCAGGGAGGACGCTAAATTTCTAACGGGGTGGATTGTGAGATGACACATCAGTTGGAGAGGGGAACAAAACATTCCTTATAAGGGTATGAAAATCTATCTCTAATAGACCGTTTTAAAATCGTGAGACTGACAGGAATACATAATGAACCAAAGTGAACAATATCTATTCGTATTGGATTTGAACGGTTGCATTTATACTTGAGCTAACATATCATATGATAAAAAGTTTATATCTGAGCACTCGTTTCAACACATTAATTCCATCTATGTTTCATCGCATTTACATTACTTTCACTATATTTCACATAAATTTTCATCATTTTACGTGTTCAATTTAGTTACCTAAACATTAAAGGATAGTCTATATCATATTAAATTATTCAATAACACGGGTTACTATATCCATAAACTAAAATATCTAACGATCAAATAACATTTCCGAGTATAAATATAAAACATATAAATATCATGTATGAGTTTAAATATAATTTATAAGTTCTACACCAACTACATCCATCCATTCCTACAGTTCAAATTGAACTTCTCTATCTCTACCTAACCTCCCATACATATAATATAATCTATTGACCCAAAGCATAAAGCAAACCAAACCAATCCCACATGGGTCAATAATAGCATTCCCTAAGCTAACTAACCCTTCCATTATCATGTGTTAGGTGGGAGCCATTAGAATATGAAGCATCTTAGATCATTCTAGTCGTCTACTTATTCTTATCTCCCAAATAAACAAATATTGGTCCTCTTAATTTAACAAAAGTTAGCAGCCACTGAGTTATTATTGGATATAATATCCATATGGTCGCCGCCACGAAATTATGTCCTGCTCAAATGGCAAATGCATTAGGTGGAATAGTAAGGAAAATACAACCAAGAACACTCCATGTCAAATCATGACACTTTCTGTTATTCTTTCTTTTTTAGTTACAGACTTTATTGACTTTACCCAGAAGCAGAGGAAAAAGAATTTTGAAAATTTTTAAGCTTTATTCTATATAAACACTCGATATCAGCGTCGTCGTTGTTTCAAAGCTCTGATTGTCTCTGTTTCTGTAACGTCGAAGTAGGCTGTGAAAATGGTGATGAAAGTGGCGGTTGTTTTTGTTTTTCTTGTCGCTGTGCGTGCGGTTTATGGTGCTGATATCGTTGTTGGCGGCGATTCTGGGTGGAATCAGGGGTTTGATTATGGTACCTGGGCTGCAGGGCAAGTCTTCAAAGTTGGCGACTCGTTGGGTAATTATTTGAATTATGAATAGAATGGAAATTGTGGCGTAATTGGATTTGGGTTTTGTTTAACGTTTGTGAAAATTGCAGTGTTCAATTATGGTGGGAGTCACTCAGTGGCGGAGGTGAATGAGGCGAGCTACAAGGCGTGTTCGTCGACCTCGGTGATTAGATCTCACACTGGCGGAAGCACGTCGATTCCTCTGTCTGCGACAGGGCCAAGGTACTTCCTCTGTCCAACACTGGGTCACTGTTCCAGCGGCATGAAGCTTCAGATCAATGTTGTGGCTGCCAACGCCACCCCAACCCCACCGGGGACCACCCCACCGGCTAACACCCCACCGGCTGACACCCCACCGGCTGACACCCCCCCGTCGCCTCCGTCTCCAAGCGCAGGCTCCTCTGGTTTTATCAGTCTCAACCAGTTGATCTTTGGGGCTTCCATTGCCTGCTTCACCGCCCTGTTTGTTCTATGAGCGTGAGCGGCTTGGGAAGATGCAGTGCTTGCCTTTCTTTCTTCAATAATTTGTGATCCCTGTTAGTTTTTGTTATCTATTTGGTTGGATTCATGTTGCTTATATTCACCCAAGAGTTCCATAAGAACACACCAACTCACCTCACTTATGGTGTAAAAGAGGTGTTCGTCTTATGATCTCTTTTCTTCCCGTGTTTCATATTCTCATATAAATTAAATTTTTATATTATATTTCATTCTTTCTACTAGAACTAAAACTACCTAAAATCTCACTCAAACTTACCAATTACCTTATGCCAACATAAAAACAGACATTTTTATCGAGTTTAGTTGGGTTAAATTGAAAAAATGGTTTGAACAAACTTAAAATAATTATATGTTTAGTTGGATTTATGATCGGAAAAATTTGAAAGAGGTTTAGGTTAGGTTGATTTTTTTAAAAAATTATATTAAAAAAAATTCTACAGCAAGTCATAACGCATCAGTAACATCTGTTATTAACCCTATTTTGAGATAATCGGATTGGTTAGGTTACCCGACCAAAAAATGTCACATCGAATTTTTTTTTAGTTTTTGAGAAATTTAATCCAATTCAAATTAAAAAAATAAAAATAAAAAAAATAAAATTACTAGTTTTTATTTTCGGCATGCGGTCCAGTTCCTAAATATAAACTCTTGCAAGAAAGAAGCCCAGTAATGCGTAGCTGGGTTGATGGGCCGACCGAAGTCAAAGACAACTTAGGGGCTCTTCCCGATCGACTTCTTCAAATCCTAAGGTTGAGCTCTTCACGTCTCCAGAATTTTTAGTCGCAGAGCCGGCGGGAGAGGAAGGAAGAACGGTGCAAGGCGAGTGCAATGTCGGGCGAGGATTTGGAGAATGGAGAGTTTTACTTGAGATATTATGTGGGGCACAAAGGCAAATTTGGACACGAATTCTTGGAGTTCGAATTCCGACCCGATGGCAAGCTTCGCTACGCTAACAATTCCAACTACAAGAACGACACCATGATTCGCAAGGAAGTCTACCTCACCCCTGCTGTCCTCCGGGAGTGCCGTCGAATCATCTCCGACAGCGAGGTCAGGATCTTACTGTCGATGTTCTTTCCTTCTATCTCTCTAGGGTTTCTTCTTGCATCGCCGTTTTCTGTCTTTTTTATTTATTTATTTTTTCGATTCTTCAATTGGGTTTTGTTACTGTTTTCTCGTTTACCTTCGAAATACATTTCCTTATCCCTGGGATTTTTATTATAAAAAAAATCATCCCTTCAAGAAAAAGTTTAAATGGTTTGCTGGACTTTTGAAAGTATTCAACCTGGATAGCTGCATCTTTACTTTTCTTATATAATGTGGATGTGTAGGGGTTTTTTTCCTTAATGTACCACTTCATTGATCTGATTCGGAATGACGGAAAATCAAAATCGAGTTGTATGTCTTATTTAGGAATTCCTGATTTGTTCTAAAATATGGCACCTTCATGCTTTGGATCCTAACATTTTTGGAATGATATTCTGCTAAAAATACATATTTTAGATGTTCATTAGGAGTGGCTTCAATGGTAGTTTTCAAGCAGGAAGTCCGTATTTGAACAGGAACAAATTCACGCGTGATGGTGGAATTTACCTGTTCTATTCTATGTTTATATCTTGTAACTGATCTTCGAGGCTATTACTATAATTTTTAATTGAAAACAAAACTTGCATGAAGTATAGTCTTATTAGTACTTGACCAAATAACTCTGGCTTGCCATTTGAATGGTGATGACCCCAAAGAAGATGAGTAAGACCTCTGTCACTATTATTGTTTTGGAATGTTGGATTAATTAAGAAGTATTCTCAACACTTGTCTGCGAAGGAACTGTGAATAAGTGAAGAGTTTCGACAAAGAGAACATTAACTAAGCCAGGGGGTAAAAAGTAGTTTGGCAACCTTCTTCTTCTTCTTCTTCTTTTATTTTTCATTTTTTATTCTTTTTCAAAGTTTGTTGTCGTGTAGGTACTTACTGGTTCTGTGCAAGCACCCGAAGTGAAAACCTTACCCTTTTAGGACCTTTTGCTTTCCAGATAGCTTTGACTACTTTAGCATCAAGGGGGTAAATCCACCTCTATAGCCTGCCCAGTGCTATCTGAAGCTGACATTTTAGAGACAGAATGTTGGTTGACGGCAACCTCTTGGAGACAGAATGTTACCATTCAATAGTCTCAAAGTCATTGGGGTTTAGAATAGTCTGGCAACCTCTTGGAGACAGAATGTTACCATTCAATAGTCTCAAAGTCATTGGGGTTTAGAATAGTCTCATAGTCATTGGGGTTTAGAATAGTCTTATTGTCATTGTGGTTTAGAATAGTCTCATGGTAGTTTGGTTTTCTTCTGAACCTAGGATTCTAAGGTCAGCATTCCTCTGATCAACGTAGATTACTAAAGGTTTGGTTTTCTTCTGAACCTAGGATTCTAAGGTCAGCATTCCTCTGATCAACGTAGATTACTAAAGAACCCATTGGAATCAACCACTTCACTCCAACTCTTGGGGAAATAGGAGCTAAGTATCCTCCCCAAAAAAAATTCTATCGTCTTTACCATCAATACATTTATCCATTTTTTAACCTGTAAAGAACATTTATCTATTGAGGGCCAATATCTTCTAGAACTTGAAGCACTTACAGGACGGTTTGTTGAGGCAACCTCTTGGAGATAAAGCGACAGTGATACCCACTCAATAGTCTCAAAGTCATTGGTTTAGATTACTCTCAAGTCATTTGGTTTTCTTCTAAGCCTAGGATTCTAAGGTCAGCATTCCTCAGATCAACATAGATTAATAAAGAAGCCGTTTTCTTCTAAGCCTAGGATTCTAAGGTCAGCATTCCTCAGATCAACATAGATTAATAAAGAAGCCATTGCAATCAGCAACTTCACTCCAACTTCTAGAGAAATATCATGGAGCTAAGGAACCTCCAGAAAAATGATTCTATTGTCTTTATCATCAAAAAATTTATCCATTTTTTGCACCTATAATGAATGTTTAGAAATTGCGAGCCAAGGGCTTCTAGAGCTTGAAGCAATCCATTTTTTGCACCTATAATGAATGTTTAGAAATTGCGAGCCAAGGGCTTCTAGAGCTTGAAGCACTTACAGGTCGCATCATCCAACCACTGGGGTACTTGGTGCATTTCCTATTTATGATTTTCCTCCATGGTACATATCAAGTAGGGCAAATTCTTCTTTGTATTGCTTCAAATACTATTCACTGATTCCTCACCTTTTTCTTGTTACTCTTTTCACCCAATTTTCATCTAAGGCAAAGAGATAATCCCAATTTAAAAGGTTGCAGCCACCATCATGTTGAGTTCCTTTTCATCAGAAATTGCAAATCAAGATTTCCTTTCTTTTGACCACCTTTGGAAGAATTTAAAAAATTAGATAGTGTAGTATATTGGACAACAGACAACACAACATTTGCAAGGCAAGTTACCACAATTATGCAGTAAGAAGCTTCTTTAATTAGAATGGCACAACACAACATTTGCAAGGCAAGTTACCACAATTATGCAGTAAGAAGCTTCTTTAATTAGAATGGCAGCTACTTTCTTTCACTGGTTTCCTAAGTTGATATTTCCAGGTTAATGTTTTGTTGCTGCGTCTCCATGTTTGGATTGATTTTTCACAAGTTTCTTATTGATTTTAAGATGGATAATGATTAATTTTTCTAAGTTAACCTTCGTGCCGAAAAGAAAGTTTCTTATTGATTTTAAGATGGATAATGATTAATTTTTCTAAGTTAACCTTCGTGCCGAAAAGAAAGTTAAACTTAATGAGATTGTTGAGCATGATAGCATTGTTGCTTGAAAACGGAGCATGTCATTCACAAGTCAAAGATAAATGATCTGAACAATGTCATTACCAACAAAAAATCTTTAGATGCTATCATCTTGGGAGCCTTTGTCAAGTGAACTATTTAAAGTATCCACCTCTTAGGCAAAGAGGAAGGAAAAGGGGTCACCTTACTTCAGATGTCTTGAAACTTTAATTTAAAACCTCTCAACTTTCCATTACAAAAGATCAGAAAGGTCCTGGCATGCCATTAGAACATTCTCTTTGATGTTTCTCCAAGATTTCTTCAAGATTTCACTTCAGCAGCCATCCTGGCTGGAAAATTTTCAAGGCCAAAACTATTAAGTGCAGCTTTGCTTCCTTCCTCAAAAAAGCCATGGCACTCAAAAGAAAAAAAAAAAAAACCAAAAAACAAAACAAAACAAAAGTGCTCCAAAGCTGAGAGAGATACCCTTTGCTCATTATCATCGAGCATTAGGACAGCTAATTAAATAAGATTTTAGATAGGAGAGATTACTAAAGATATTTGATTGTGACAATCATTGATTTGTAGCCTATATTTTTCAAAATTAGAAGGCATAGGCTCCCATTTCAAATTTCTTGTTTTCAACAGATTGGAAACAATCCACAGTGATGTGAGGCAATCATTTAAATCTTGAAAGATGAAATTCGATATTCCAATTTTCTATTTTTCTATTCGGGGTTAATGAAAAATCAATTGATCTATGTTGTTTGACCAACTGAAATCTCCATTTGACGAAGGTTGATCAATCAAAGAAAGGTCATCGATAAACCTATTGAATCTAAGCCTCTAAGCCTATTTTGTAGGTATTTTTTCCATTTGAAAATCTCTTGTTCTCCATCTAGTAATAATGAAGTCACGACCAATGCACTACATCTTGCACTATAGTTAGAAAGAGCCTCGAGATCATCTCAAAAGAATTTTACCTCATTATATTTGTTAAAAAAATTTCTGGTTCCTCATAGATCTGATCTATTATCCCCTTGTTTGGTGCTATACTGAAGAGAAAGAGATTATTTTACCATTTGGATTTTGAACATCAATTATTTTATTCCTCACTTTCTGAATACAATGGCACAGTCCTGATAAGTTTGAGATGTGATTTCTTTGTTACTCTTGTATTTCCTTTCTTGTTGATGTATTTGATGAAGAATGTTTTGAGATAGTCTGCTTGTCACTTGCCTCTAAATGCTTCATTTTTATCGTGTTTTGAACTTAATTACCTCTCTATATTGCCTGCGTTCAGATTATGAAGGAAGACGATAATAATTGGCCAGAACCAGATCGAGTTGGACGACAGGAGCTTGAGATTGTGATGGGAAATGAACACATCTCCTTCACCACGTCTAAGATTGGATCTCTTGTTGATGTGCAGAGCAGCAAGGATCCTGAAGGTTTGCGGATATTCTATTATCTTGTTCAGGTAAGGCTTAATTTTCGATGTCGATTATTTTTACATGGAAGCTTTTTATCTGCCCCTTTGGTCGTTTTTGTCTCTAGATTCTTGAATATTATATTGAATCCTTTATACTCTCAACACTGTCCAGCTTAATCATACTTGTGTTTCTTTGGCTGTAGGATCTGAAATGCTTTGTATTTTCTCTTATTTCACTCCACTTCAAGATCAAACCAATTTAAAGAAGTGCCAAAACTCCTACTGTGCAATATGAAGAACATGTACTTCTCCCAACGGTGAAATCCTTTTTCTTTTTTGGCTTTTTGGCTTTTGAGAATTCTTTTCTGTATAACAGAAGCCGGGTGGTGTTGAATGGTTGTGTTTGATTTCTTAAAAATGCGCAGAATTTTGGAGATTTATAATGTGTTATTTTTGAGTTCCATTTTCTGGACTTGGACTTGGTGTATGATTATGACGACGACGACGACGATGATCTGTGTTGACATCGATCTTTTATATTGAATTTTGTTGGGGCTGTGTGTATGTTGTGGCATATTGAGATATTATTTCTTAAAACTGGGATTTGAAAAACAGTTCAATTATATGGATGGTGTTTGACTGGAAATCAAATAAACCCAGCTCGCTCTCCTTATTGTATAAAGAATCACGTGATTATTCCATCAGGGTATTTCTTTCTTGATTCGGTTTGTGCTTGAACATAAATATGGATCATCCTGTCCTTCTGTATCACATCCCAATCAGCCAGTATTGTAATATTGAATTAATTAAAAAAAACTGGGAAAGGAAAAAATTCAACTTGAGCTAAATTGAATTAATTAAAAAGAAAATAACAAGAGTAGCCCAGCGTATATGTATCTAATAGTACAATAGGTACACTGTATAGGTAGAGTTAAATGGCTCCAACTATTCCTACAAAACCTCTTAACCCTCCTCCCAACAACCTCAACCCAATATGGTTTCTATTTCTCCCACATATGCGTATGTACGAGCTCACCTGAGGGTTTATATGTGCGTATGTGGGTCTGAGTAGAAAATTACTACACATCCAGTGCTACCCGGAATCGAAGCTTAGATCAAGGTCGTGAAATGATGTTTAATGATAGGTCCAAACATGACTACATATGATTGCATTTCCTAACTCCAGTGGTGGGGTCACTAACTGAGTATGTCTTAAAATATTCAAACCACAAGCTGCTCTTACTTTTCAGGTAAAGCAAGACACGGGATTATGCCTCCACTAGTAGGGATGACGGAAACGCCAACATAGTGGTGATAGGTACCTTATATGCCCTTTGGTATCTTGCCCTAACTTTATTTGATTTGGGGTCTATGCCGTCCTTTATATCTGTTCCATTTGTTAGTCATGCAAGATTCAGATAGAGCCTTTATTACATGTATTGTTTTTTAGTACCACGACAAGGGTAGACTTAATTTCTAGGGATAGTGTGAAGGGTGGCCAAGTATCTGTCTCCGGGCAAGTCCTAAATGAAATGCTGGTAATGATAGACATGATTAGTTTTTATGTAATACTCGAGATAGATTGGTTAGGCTGAGAATCATGTCTGCATATACTATTACATAAAAGAAGTGGTGTTTTTTTTAACATTGTCACAAAACAGCTTTAAGTTCAAGGGTACATGTGCGGGAGTTACCCCAAAAGTAGTGTGTATGATGAAAGTGAAGAGGTTGATTCAGCAGAGAGCTTGGGGTATATTAGCCAGCGTCGTGGGCACAAGGAAGGAAGAAAATCTCTATCACCAGTGTTAGCGGTGAACGAGTTTTCTGATGTGTTCCAGAGGATTTACTAGGAGTACTCCATCCTCAGCAATAGATTTTTGCATAGAGCTTGAACCGGGTATCAATCTTATTTTCAAGGCTTCGTATCGTATGGTACAAGAAGAGTTGAAGAAACTTAAGATACAATTACAAGACTTTTTGGAAAAGAGTTTCATTCATCTCAACATGTCTCTTGGGCTGCACCTATGTTATTTGTAAAGAAGGATGGATCGATGCGTTTTTTGCGTCAATTACAGAGAGTTGAATAAGAAAACAGTGAAGAACAAATACATTCTCTTCCGTATAGAAAAATTGTTTGACCAGAACAAGATACGGTCATTATGTTACTATACATGACACATTATGCCATTAACAATTGAGGTATGCTATGAAAGTAGGGTACTATATTATACACACTACCTTATGTAATAACACGAAAGGATTATGCTATGTATGAACTGAACAAAGATACACATTGCATCATACACACGTCATAATTATAACCGAAGGATACCTAATACATATTGTATACTCACGTGCATCGAGATACTTCTCTATTATGATTAGTATTTGAATATATGTTAAATTGAATAAAACAGTCGTAACGGAACAGTTGAAAGTAGATTAAAAACGATGCATAGGCACATGAAAAATAGGTAGTTTAGGGTTCGGGAGTGAATGACACACTCCAAACCACGTGAAGTGCAGGAGGAGAAAAGAGTGTAATGTTGGAGATAATGCCAAAATGATTGTGTAGAGAGTGTTTGATTAAGAGGAGGGAGAAGGGCGTGGAGTGTTGGGAGCCATGGAAATTACTTATTTTCGAAGCGCAAGACATGAGAGGCAATGAAGAATCTTTTGTAAAATTTTGCAAAAAGGGAAATTTCATCTCTTTCATGCATTTGTTGCTATTAATATTTCAAATGCAACATTTTTAATACTCCATGCGCTGTTTATTTAGAACATCAAAACTTTCCCCATTTACCCATT